TTGAGGGGTCATTTTTTCACTGATCGTCATACTTTCCCTCTGTTATATATAACAGTCAAGAAAGTAAAACAGCTCATTAATTAGTAGTAGTTTTAATGAATTTAAATTACATATTAATAACTACTAGGTATTTTCTAGGAAAATGAAACTGAAATCTGCATGTAGGTTTCTATGTTTCAGCTTGACATGAAAACAAATGTGCCGACATGCTTTTAACATTTTCTAAATCAGTTTAAATGCTGCAGGTTTGGGGAGGACATGCATATCCATCATCATAACCGACAAAAACATCAAGAAACATTAAAAAAACACATGTGCAGCCAGTGGCCCAGAAGCTGGTTAAAACATGCACACGTGCATGCTTTGAAAAATTGATTTTATCATGACATTGTGCACATTGAATTCTTATTATGTAGATCAAAATAAAAATTTGTCAGAGATCATTGTAAGTTGACAGCATTTGTAAATTTGACATGTAGTGCATGATCAGCTTACAACTGGCAATTGTCCCATAGATTTTACTTGACAAAATTTGACCTCAAATATCTCAGCCCATAGATAGAATTTCAAAATTATGATTTCATCATGACATCAGCCTTGCCAAGTTGTACATATTAAAAAAGAACCATGTTTAGATGTTATCTGGTTGCTTTAAACTTTGATCATGGACAAAATACCTTTCTGAATGAAGAGCTCTGCTTATGATTTACTCAATTATAATTAATAAATTTGCAGTCAAATTCTTTGAAGTTAAGATTTTCATATATTATTATTTATTTAATTTCAAAATAAAAATAAAATATTATCAATAAACAGATAGAATTCTTTTGTAGAAAATATTTTTAAAGGTGTGACTTAATAAATAGAATGGAATGTATATTTGACATATAATTCTAAAATAAATAATAGAAACAAATGTAATTTTTAAAAATTATGGATTATAAAGTTTAGTTAATAAATTTTATTATTAACATTAAGATGTGTGTTAATACTATGAAACTGCAATTTTTTTTTCTGGTTTATATTAAAATCTATACAACATCCAGTATTTTATGAATTTCTTAAATTATATTATTCAAATTGCATCATAAAATAAGTTGTTTGAAATCATCTTGTTGAAGGGAAAAATCATTAAGTGAATGCATTTTTAAACCACTAGCCCAGAAAAAGCTTTTGTAAAATACTTTGTTTTGATTACTTAATTCTATTTATATGCAGTTTGAACTAAAAATATATCATTTATTTTGTTTTTAATTAACTATTTTAAGTTTTGTAAAGATATGCTTATTTACATTCTATTAATAATGTCATTATTTTGATTTTAATTAAAGTTATCAGGTTTACATTCTACAAAGAACAAAAATTGTATTGTATATATTATTAATTTATTTGCTTTTGTTTTATTATTTTTTGTCTAAATCTGTTCCATGTCTATCTATGCATTTTAGTTTTTAAGTGTGCGCTTTTATCAATTACCATAATTCGTAATTTACTGTATATTAAAATACGATACTGTATAATAGTTTTTTTTTTATTAATTTGATATATTTGCTCTTTGTACTGATAAGTTTCTTGCAATAGGACTTTAACCTCAAAGTAATGAGTCAGGTGATTTTTGTACTTTATGATAATTTCTTACATAATTGTAACCTTTGATTTATTTTATTGGTACATTTAATAAACTATTTCATATATACTTTGATGATAAAGCAAAATATTTAAAAATTTTGTGATATTTCATAAATCTCCAAATATAATAAAACAGAATTAAGTCTTGTTTGTTAAACTTTTAATTTTTTTTTCTAATTTATAAAAATAAGTTATAAACATAAGGCTAACTCTATTTGTGCTTGACGTAACAAAGGCTGTGGCATCCACTTATTGAAATTGCTTTGTGGATTAATGAGGATTTGTATTATCGTCAGTTTAATGACAAGGAAAATATTTTTTTTTTTTTTGATTGATACACCTTTCTGATTACTGTCTACTAATGGTCTGTATATAAGAATCAATCTCAGAACAAAGGTCAGCTCTCAAATAGTTAAACGAAATTATTTATTTCTAAATAATAATGTGGAGCAATTAGGAAATTTTGAGTAAATGTTAAATTTCTAAACAGTTTCTTGTCATATTTTGTTTATAACTTTTTCAAATGATGATGCTTTCTAAAATATTTACCTAGAATTTTACAAGAAAGCATTCAGATTAACATATATATAATGCTATAGGATAACTTGACAAACAAATAATTTTTGCAGATTGAGAATATAGTTACTTAATCTTTGTCTTGTCTGTCGGTGTGTAAATTAAGACACAAAAACAAGAAAATTTCAAATTTTACATTATCATATCTGTATTTTATTGATATACAGTAAAGCTTGTTTAAGTCGAAGTTTGAGAGAGAAAAGTTAATTTTGAATTAATGAGTTTTTAATGCTTCCCTTTTAAAATTTTTGTAGCTATAATTTTCCCATTATCAAGCTGTTTCTCAAGACTCTGTTCACAGAATTATTACAAAATTGCATAAAATTTATGGTATACTTTTGAGGGCATTGTCAAGACACTGTCCTTGCATCCTGATAAGTGCACCTGTAACATACTAGGCATGTTTTCTAGTAAAGTGTTTTAAGCAATTTTTGCTTTTGTAGGAAACACCTCAGCTACTAACTATTGTAAGGTTTTTTTGTATGTGTCATTTTGTTTGAATAAAAATGTTTAGTCAGAAATGACACACAATTCTCGATGAGATTATAAAATATTGGAGAAAATTCAATATTACATGAAAATGCAATTAGCTACATCGTAAACAACAATAATAGAATGCGTGTACTCACACTGGTGAGTACACGTATTACTAATAAATTTGTACTAATAAATTTGAAGATGTTTATGTTGGAATAGAAGAATATGTGAAAAACTGTTTCTAATTTTTCCAATAACCAGTTTAAAATAGATTTTCACATGTCACAATCTTTTCATCCACCATAAATTATAAGCATATTTACATACCAGCCATCTTAACTTCTGTCTTCAATGCTTGTGAGCCTTGCTGCACTAACACTACAGTGGCTAACTTAAAGCAGAAATAGCTTAACTATCTTTTAACAAAATGGCTTTATGTGGCTTTACTAGGAAATGCACACACTGTATGAGTAAAAGGATGCAGACAAGAGGACATAATGGCATGAAGCATAGTGTTTATCTTATACAATCTTATATAAATCATTCTACATCTTATTCATTTAGAATAGAAGAGAGAATGAAGATTTGAGTTAATGCAGTTTGACTTAGCAAGGTTTCACTCTAATTGATTGTGAAATATCAGTACAAAAACATTTGTCAATGTTGTTCATACTTTTCCTCCTTCCAATTCTTGGAGTTGATTTTAGTTTTCAGTTAAAAAAAAAAATTTAAAAATGAATCAAAAAATTTTTGCTTTTGTATTTTAAAAGTTCATAGTTTGGTTTGTAGTTATTTTGAGCTGGAAAATAATAAATAAAGCTTGAAAGTGAGAAAAATGACTGATTTGTTGGAAGTTTAGTTCTGTTTGACACAAATTGATTATTAACGATAAGTTTTGAATTAATTGATACTCCAAGATTTAATATTCTGAATAAGTATATTTTGTATCAAAATTAATTGCATTATTTTAAATAAACTAATAACATGCAGCCTGAAAATGCTGTGTATTGAAATAACATACTGAAAATATTCAGATTAGTTACATAAAACTTTTTATGTGGAATTAACTTTTCTAAAGTAAAATAAGGTAGAAGCAAATAGTAATTAGTATTTTCATTGTTTTCTTATTCTCTAAACAAATTGTAAATTATCCCCACAAATACTATATAAAGTCACCTTTTTATTTGTCTGTTTTAATAATATAATATTGCAATGATAATATAAGTTAATGTATTATATTGTTATATGTTAATATATATATTTGCATGTCCCATAAACATAAAACCATTGCCTAAGCAATGACAGTTACAAAGTTTTTATTACAAATTAGTAACTAATACAGTTACCCTGTCAATAGTTTTGTATATACAAGTAGAAATAGACAAATTAAATGTTGAAGATAGATAGGTTTGAGGTATTTCCTCCCATTTCTGTTGAGTTGTGTTTTGAAACTCCTCAACTGATGTATACTGTGTCCATTTCTGTAAATGGCATGAGCTGGCATTTATAGAAATAATCCTCTGATCTTAACATCATAGAAAATGTTAAGATGGTTCTATGGTGTTAAGATCAGGGATGAAATAAGTGGTCCAATTCACAGCCCTTTTATTCAAGTATCACTTATACATGCTCTTAGCCTTGTGCACAAGTGCATTATCTCATTTTAAAAAATGGTCAATTCCTGCAATACNAATATATAATATTTTATTTTATATTTTTATAATTTTTAAATTTTATTCCATTTTAATTGTTTTTGTATGTTTCAATTTGAATTTTGTTCTATATAAAATTTCCTACATCATTCTAATCTGATAAATGAATTGTTGTAAATTGTTGGCTTCCTGAACTAAGCAATTAATTAATTCATTTATCGAAATTTGTACATGTGTACTTTTGTTATTTATTAACTTCTAGCTTTGATTTTCTTTCTTTTTTATATTAGAAACCTTAGCTTTTGTTTGTATGTGAGTGCAGTGTCGAACTGCCCAATAGGCATGTGAAGCATATATCCAGGGATTCCGGGTATAGGGAGCCCAAGATTGGAAAAAATAAAGCAATTTTACCGTTGCAATTGTATGTCATAATTTATACATAATTCTATAGCTACAATTATATATTATTGAGCTACAATTTTCAAATTATAAACCTATAAATTTCCTCTGCCGTCTGTCTGTCTGTCCTTCCTTGATCTTTGGAAACGGAGTTAGAAAAATGAATAGATAAATTATAGTAAAAATATCATTACTTTGTTTTTCACTATTTATTTATTAAATATTATTATACGTTATTTTTATAATATAATTTTTAGAACAGTTGCCAAGAGTGAAGGAAAAGTAGGCGAGAGGAATTCGTACCGAAAATGAGTTTGAATCCGCAGTACGACACGATAGGTAGATCGTTCGTGCATCAGTACTACTTACTTTTCGACGATGCCGCTCAGAGGGCGAACCTGGCCAACTTCTATAACGAAGAAAAGAGCCTTATGACATTTGAAGGTCAGCAGTTATTTGGAAGAATAAAAATAATGGAAAAAATTCAAGGTTTGACTTTTCAAAAGATTTAGCATCAGATAACTTCAATTGATCCACAGCCAATGTTTGACGGTGGCATTTTAATCTGTGTTTTAGGACAACTTAAAACAGACGAAGATCCACCACACCTTCAATCAAACGTTCGTTCTGAAACCATTAGGCGAGGGATTCTACGTGGAACACGACGTGTTTAGGCTAGCATTGCATCATACTGCCTGAGATTTTGCCAANTTAAAGAAACAAACAATATTTTAAAATAAATCTACCAACTTCTAATTATAATAAAAATTAAAAAAGGTTTATTATAATTTTAAATTAAATTTACTGTTCATATGCTATTCAGTAGTTTTTAAGCTCATTTTTAAATGTATAAATTGCTTGACATCATTAATTAATATTAATCTTAAGAAATGAACTTAATTATGTACAGTTTACTTAGAGAGGATCATTTTGATGCATCACATCATGAATTATTCACAGTTGGAAAATTAGAATGTCAAATTTTTAAAGAACTCTTAATTCTATGACTTGAAAATGTGCATTCTTACAAATTCTTAAGGTAGATGCTTTATTTTTATTTTAAATATTTTAATGTTCCTTAATGTATCCTAATGGTAATAATCTTACAAAATATTTTAAATTATTCTAAATATTTTGTAAACTGAAAATTGATTCAAAAAATGTTCTAATAAATGAAAAAAATGTCTGTTTTATAAGACAAATTGGATTTATCAAATTAATTAAAACATTTGTCACTTTCCTACATAATTAGTTGAACTTCAAACATGAATTTAACTGGATGAAATTAAAATAGTGAAACAGAATTCAAAATTATATTATCACGTATCTTTGTAGAATTTCAGGTGTAAACTTCAGTTATTTTGGAAATTAGTTACCTAATAAATGTTTAAATATAAAAGAAAATAATCAAATGTAACAAGATAGCATTTCAAAATTCTATTATTTTTATCTTTTTAAGTAGTTAATATTTTTTATCATTAATATTTTATAGATAATTATACAGGTAAGTGATGATAATTGACCTTCACTTTTCTCAATGGAAAGTTGAATATCAACTATTATTAACTTTATCTGAAAACATTTCCTAGATTTATAAAATTAATAACGTTCATATTTGATTTTTTTGTATATTTTGAATTATTTTAAAAAATATTTTAATTACATAGGGTTTGACTTTTCAAAAGATTCAGCATCAGATAACTTCAATTGATCCACAGCCAATGTTTGACGGTGGCATTTTAATCTGTGTTTTAGGACAACTTAAAGTATGTATTTAACAAACTTTATTATTATATATATATGAAAAATTAATAATTCGTAAACTAAATCTTCTGTGATACTTTTTAATATAGTTGAATTTTATTTTTATTTACAAAAAGAAAAGGATGAAAATTAATTCTGAAATAAACATCACATTTAATACATTTGTATATTAAACTATCATAGAATATTATTTCAGGAGTTTTTAATGGCAGTATTAATTACAAGAACAGTTACAATATTTGTTAGAAGTTCGACTTTTTGTATGTTTTTAGATTTATTTCCGAATGTTAGTGTATTTTGCTTAGATGAAAACAAAAATCTCTTTTCATTTGATTTAGATTTTCCTTTCTAAACTTACGAGCTACAAATCATAAATTAAGAGATGCATTCTTTGAAAGTTGTTTACATGAAAGTATTCTAAACAAATATCAGTTTTTTAAAATTTAAATATAATTGATGTATGACAGATATATTTTCTCATATTTTATCTATTGCTTTTATTCAGAATAAATAATATAATAAAATGCTTTATTGCTTCTTTGTAAGTCATCAAACTATTCACAAATTACACATTGAAGTTAAATGTTTCAAAATTTGACATATAATTGATTTTAAATAAACAAAATAATTAAAAATATTAATAAATGTTGTGTTTATTTTTTAACCTATGATTACATGTGGTAGATACAATTTTTTGCACATTACTAGCTTTCCATAGGCATTTTTCAACAAATTGAGTTACTTAGTTTTGTTTCCTTAATATCCTCATGCTACATGCTATCTATCTAACTGTAAAAGTTTGTTGAAAAAATTTTTTCTGCTTATTACAAACCCTCAAAATTCATTACAGAAACCATGTTATGGATGTGATCACATACAATTTTTTTATTGTTACAAGATCACATTCATAAATGGTTTTCTGCACTGTCATTTTTGGTGACCTGACATCAAAAATGTCATGGAGGTCTCTCATGATTGTTATATAACACAAATATTATACCCTTTATTTCTACTCAAACATTGTAGCCTTTTCTGTGTTATGAAATCAATACTTTATATAAAAATTATACAGAGGTTAATTACAGTTGAAGATTAATAAATTAAGATAAAATAAAAATTGAGTCATTTCTTAAACTACTATTGGGCAATTCAAATTTTTTAACTTACAGTGGAACCTGTTTGAGGTGACCACCCCTGGAACCAAGGTAAATGATCACTATATGGGGAATACATACATTAGATCAAGTGAACCTCATGATACATTGTTTTGTAGGTTTTGTGAATTTATTAGTCTTGATAGCTGTGGTTTTATATAGCACAAGACGTAGATTAACAAGCAGTATACAGATTAATTGCATAAAAATTGCAATATACAGTACAAAAATTTCAGTTTGTTAAAACAATGTTTTATTTTGATTGATATGTAAAAAAAACATTGTTAATATGTTTATTTCAAGGATAATTTTTTCTGCAAAATTTGGCACTGTGTCTCTTTCCAGTTCCTAGACACTTTTAAGCATTGTTGGACAATTTGTGATAGCATATCATTTAATTTTTTCACACACAACTAACACATCTTTTTCTGTAACTGTACTTTTATCTTCATCCCTCTTTGTCTGCAAGAGCTCTTTGTCTGCAAGTATGATAGCTGGATTAACATCTTGAATGTCTGTTAAAATGTCATTCACTAGAGTTTCTGATTCAATTATATAGAATCAGAAGATCTATATGATAGAATCTTTACTCTGTGCATCCACATTTCATTTGAACTAATCTTACTGTTTCTTGACAGTTCATTAACAAGTTCCTGAAGATGATTGTAATTCTCATTGAACATATTAGTTTGCTCATCCATGTTTGTAGTAAATCCAGCCTTGCTGAAGTATAGTTTTATGGTTGTGATTTTCATCCCACAATGTCTTAACCCACCATGCTACCTGCTAACCCATCAAGAATGTCAACAGATTTAGCAATTTCATTTGCAATTTTTTGTTCATTTGTTCTTGCTGTAACTGCTTGTAGATTTCTATAATTTAGTTTGAATGTCTCTATTATTCCCTGATCCAAAGGCTGTAAAAATGATGAATTTGAGGAAGAAACTCCACTTGAATATCAGAAAGTCTTATACCTGGAAAGGTGAGAAGAACAGTTGTCGTCAATCATTAAAATTTTTTTTCTTTTGGAATTTTTTTTTTTGGTAGAACATTTAACCATTCAGTAAACATGTTTGTTGTCATCTATGTTCTTGTGTTAGCTTGCTTTGCCAATTAATAAAAGGATAAGCTTTTTTCCTGCAAAATTGCATGAAAACATCTGGATATTTTGCCATTTTTTACATAGCTTTCCAGCCATTGTTAATGTTTTAAAGTCAAACCTCTGCTTTTGAACATAACTTGTTCCTAAAAGTTGTTTGAAAACTGAAACAAATTTTCCCATAAAAATACGAAATGGATTAATCCATTTCTGACCCCCAAATAAAGTCTGTTTTTTACCTTTTTATTTTTTTTATCTTTCTAAAAGATGTTCATTAAAATTTCATGCATTTAATTAATACTGTTAAGTATAATGCCAAATGTTGATTATGCACTAATGAGAAATAATAATAAAATTATATTTAATAATAAATTTTTATTTAATTTGACTTAAGCATCTTTAAACACTAATTCTTGGATGCCATTTATACTATGCAAATATCAACTAGTGCAGTTTTTATTAATTCATTTGATTTAAATTCAATTTTGGCATGTATAAAAAGAAATGAAAGTAGTAGTTTTACCTGCATGCACATTGAAATCTAATTTGAATAACATCATCATTGGCGATTCATGTAATTGGTAATCCTATTGCTGATTGGTTGAGCTATTGACTTTTTTTTAACATAGGAAGTATAGGGAATTGATCATCTGTATCTCTAATCTATGGCCTGTTTTTTCCAAGTAACTTGTTCAGCAACTGAGTTATTATATGGCTACCTGGGCAGATATGAGTTTGAAATTTTGTTCTTGAACTGATTTGTTTGAAAAGTGAAGCATTGAAAAAGCAAGGTTTGATTGTATTAGGCAGTGCCCTTAGAAACAAACCACATTCGTCAGCATTAAAGATGTCTTCTATAGTATCTGTCATGGACATAAGTATTCTAGACCATTTTATAATTAACCGATACAGTTTAATAAAAATGATTTAGTTACAGACAGTACATACCAAAGGTAATTAACAAAACTTAAAAAAAAAAAAACACATCCAAACATCATCCAACACTGTGAAAATGGTTGATCTGAAAGAAAATTTCTGCCTTCTTCCTCCTTTCACAGAACATTTCCACATGGCAGTTATAGAAAGAAGAAAAAAATTAATTTTATTGAAGTTCAGCATCCTCTCACATTTGATCTTGGAGGGTAACAAAATCAATTGTTTGTGGAAACAATAAGCAACATTCATAAATTTAATTTCTGTGGAATCCTCATGGGTTGGCCAGTCTGAGACTTTTTTCCTGGTGATTCCAGAGGATTGGATCACTGTTAGATGAAACTTTCAACAGTTTTAAAGTGGATGGACAAGGATTCCACTTTTGGTTCTAAGCTGGGCCACTTTTGCCTGGCTGTCCCTGCTTGGAAAAATCTTTTCAACCCTGGCCATGGGCCAGTCAATTCTTTTTTTGATTTTCAAACCTTATGAGCAGTATGTCACCAACTCCGAGTTCTTCACCTTTTGAACTTCCCATCTGATTAGTCGCCTTAGGTATTCTTAATGCTTTGTGAAAATCCTGTGAAAACTTGTTTATTGTTGAAGACATTCATGCCAGGAACACCAACCTCTTCTATGTCTTGAATAAACCTGGCTGGAGTCAATGGAAAAAAATCTTTGATGTCTTTCCCAACATAAGTGAGTGGCCTGCTGTTGATCATTGCCTCCATGTCACACAAACTCATAGACAATTCCTGAAACCTCAAAGATGAATGTCCCAGCACATGCCAAAGCAAAGTTTTCATTGATCAGATTAGCTGCTCCCACCATGCTGTAGTCGGTCAAATGCTTTTGTGTGACACAATCTTTTGCCAATCTAAGGCCTTTAGGACACCCTGGGCATCGAAGAAGTTTCTTCCATTGTCAGAATATATATAGTTGAAAGTTTCCCTCTTCTAGAAATTAGCCTACATGGTGCTTTTATGAAGCTTTCAGTGCTCAATGACATAACTAGTTCCAAATTAATTGTTCTGTATATTGCACAAGTGACAATAACAATCCAAGCCTTATTTTTGTTTCTAAGCAAAAAGGGCTACACAAATTCACTCCAGTTATCTTAAATGCTCTTATGTCTCTGACACAATTCAATGGCAAGTGTATTGGGGCAGTTGCTCAGACCCAAGCCGTATATCTTTCACACTTAGTATATTTTGTCAAAATGTTACAAATAATGTGTCTGTAGGAGATAATCCAATATTTCTCCCTTAGTTTAGAAGAGATTATTTGAACATGTACATGGCAATTGGCTAGATGATGACCTCTAAGCAAGTAACTATAGTTGACTTAATTGACAGCAAGATGGGATTTCTAAATGAAAATTCATCATTCTTCTCAATAATTTTTGTTTTTACCCAAATCACACTTCCCTTATCTTCCATTGTGGCTATACCTTTAATTACTCCCTCCATTCAATATAAGGAAACTCCCTTTGCACTAGACACCATAGAGTATTCTCTGCTTTTTCTAGCTCTTCTGTGGTCAGAATGTTCCCTGTAAAGGCATTCTCCTTGTGAGCTTTTCTTCCAAATCTCCACAATTAGGCTAAAACTCAAATGATGCATGAGAATTTTGAAAGTCTTTCATATCACTTTTGAGTTTTTGTTGACAGTAAGACTGACATGGCCAGCAATCCTCAGGATCCTTAATCCAGTGTGGACCCTCCCATCGTCTAGTCTGTATCAACTGTTGGGGACTGCAACCCCTAGAGGGGAGGTTGGCAGGATTCAGTATTCCAGGAACATATCTCCACTGGTTAGGG